ATTTAGTACCATTTAATACCCATAGGTATTATTTTTTTTTTAACTGAATCCTGAACCGATTTGAAGCAAATTTGCCAGAGATTAATTTATACTAATTTCAATACGTTGTGCCAATCGGCCGAATATATATATATATATATATATATATAGGAGGTGTACACATCATTCCAGACCCTATGCCAAAATTCGTGCAAATTGAATGATTTTCAGAGACTTTGGTGCACGATTTACCTAAAATCGGTTGAAAATATATATGGAAGCTATATCTAAATCTGAACCGATTTTCACGAAATTTAGCACACATCGTTCTAGACTTAATTAAGTACGCTATGCCAAATTTCGTGCAAATCGATGGATATATAGCGACTTTGGTATACCATCTACCTGAAATCAAACGAAAATATATATGAGAGCTATATCTAAATCTGAATCGATTTTCACGAAACTTAGCACACATTATTCTAGACCTAATTCAGTAGGCTATACCAAATTTCGTGCAAATCGACTTTGGTACCCCATTTACCTTAAATCGGACGAAAATATATATGGGAGCTATATCTAAATCTGAATCGATTTTCACGAAATTTTACATATATCGTTCTAGACTTAATTCAGTACGCTATGTCAAATTTCGTGCGAATCGGACGAAAATATATATGGGAGCTGTATCTACATCTGAACCCACTTTTTACGAATCTTAACACACATAATTCTAGACATAATTCATTACGCTGTGCCAAATTTCGTGCAAATCGAAAGATATTAAGGGACTTTCAACACATCGTTCTAGACATAATTCAGTACGCTATGCCAAATTTCGTGCAAATCGAAAGATATATGTGGACTTTGGTCCCACATTTATATTAAATCGGAGGAAAATATATATGGGAGCTATATCTAAATCTGAACCGATTATCAGGAAACTTAACACATATCATTCTAGACCTAATTCAGTACGCTGTGCCAAATTTCGTGCAAATCGAAAGATATATAGGGACTTTTGTACAACATTTACCATAAATCGGACGAAAATATATATGGGAGCTATATCCAAATCTGAACCGATTTTAAGGAAACTTGACTCATATCATTCTAAACCGAACTCATTACGCTGTACCAAATTTCGTGCAAATCGAAATATATATATGGACTTTGGTACAACATTTACCTTAAATCGGACGAAAATATATATATGGGAGCCAGGGACGTACGCAGGGGTGGAAATGAAATTTTTTCACAGTAATTTTATGTTTGCAACAGCGAATTTTTTCATTTTGTACTGCCGGGGCCATGTAAAAAAAAGTACATGTCGCAGTTATAATCCGATTTGAATGAAATTTGGCACTAGTCATTTATTTAACCCTATTGAAATTGGAGAAAATCGGTTCAGATTTAGATATAGCTCCCATATATATTTCGTCCAATTTTAGGTAAATTGAGCACCAAAGTCCCTGAAAATCATTGAATTTGCACGAATTTTGGCATAACGTACTGAATTAGGTGTAGAATGACGTGTGCTAAGTTTTGTGAAAATCGTAAAAGATTTAGATATAGCTGCCATATATAGTTTCGCCCGATTTTAGGTAAACGGTGCACCAAAGTCCCTTTTGATTTGTACCAACTTTGGCATAGCATACTGAATTTACTCTAGAATGATGTGTGCTATGTTTCGTGAAAATCGGTTCAGATTTTTATATAGCTCTCATATATAGTTTCGCCCGATTTTAGATAAATTGTGCACCACAGTCCCTCAAAATCATGCGACTTTCCCGAATTTTAAAGTCCATAGCTAGGCCGATTGATACAATGTACTGAAGTTAATATAAACCAGTGAGCGGAGCAGTATAGTAGGACGGGGCCGACCATATGATACCCTACACAACTTCCATGAAAATCTAACTTTCGGTGGTACTATATTCTGAGCTTGGGCAATATTTTGCGATATTTGCGCCCTCCTATAATTATTTGTCCAGATTCCCTTCACCGTGGGTTGTGTTGTGATGTTCGGCTTTCAATGACAGCCTATAAATCGACTCGAAACAAATACAAAAATAAGTTTCCAGTCCACTTCATTCCAAAATTATTATCTGATAATCATCGAAAATTATTGGCGTTGTCCTTGATCATAACTGAAACCTCATGGAACATTTAAAACTCATCTGCGCTATATTTCCGCCTTCCAGTGTGGTAATGGTTACTAAATAATATCTCAGTACGTAAGCACATGAAAATATTTAAGTGTAACTCCCACATCTGAGTACATACGACCATATAAATGGTATAAATTTAAAGGTCAACCACTCCTCTTGGATATGCTATCAAATTCTTGGGACTTTGTTCTTCAGGGTTAAATATATACGCTATAGAATATAAATTTTGTAATTTTTCACACAAAAGTCAGGGTCCATTTGACCCGCTAAATATTGATCGATCTTTATCAATCTGATCTTTATCTGGCCCGATCCTCTTCTCCATGCAAAAATTCGCGGTGATTGGGCCATAATTGCGGCCTCTGGAGCGACCAGAAAAACCGGCAAAAATAAAGTTTTTGGTCCATTTCATCCACTAAATATTAACCGATCTTTTCCCCTATTGGAAAAGGTCTTCATTGGCCAGAACCCATCGTACATGCAAAATTTCGTGAAGATTGGTCCATAACTGTGGCCTGTATCGTGTTTACAAATTATAATGGACAGACGGACGGACGGACACACATGTCTAGATCGATAGATACTTAAAGGTGGGTCTAGGACCAATATTTCGTTACAAACTCTTGGGGCTGCACAAAGCTATAATACCCTGACAACATAGTTGTGTAGGGTATAGTTAATCGCTTGCAAGTTTGCTTGAAATCGGTTCAGACAAAGATATGGCATAGCTGCTATATATACTTTTAACTTATTCATATTAATTGTACACCAAATAATCAATGGGCGTCTGATTGAGATTAAATTTTAAACAGTGCATAGGTTTCAGAATAACATTGATTTCAGAATCCAATTGATGTTAGTCGGTTTAGATATAGATAAAGATCACATATTTAAGTTCGTTCAATTGTATGTCAATGTTCCTTCGAAAAGGCCACATCGTTTATGATACATTTGTAGAATATACCCAAAGTGGTGAAGGGTATCATATAGTCGGCCCAGTCCGACTTTACAACTTACTGGTTTTAAATTTGTATCTATTGCTGGAACTTAAAATATATATTTTTATTGAATCCACACTTCTGGTTTGTTCTAAAAAAATCATGCTAATTGTATTTTCTCCATCCCACTGCACTTCTTCAATTTTCGAACAATTTTAATTATCTTAAAATTTTTGTTATTAATTTCCCAAAAACTGCCTTTGTAACAGCATGAATAGTTTTGTTCTTTGTAATTTTATTTGGAGATTATATTTTGAAATGATGCTCTTTGCATTAACTATAATTCGCCGGAAAATCCAGCAATGCTTCTTTGTTTCAAAAAGCAAACATTTTTCAAGGAATTATTTTCAGGGAATTAATATATCATGTCTTCTTGCGAACAGAGAAGACCAAATCGAGGCAACAAAAGTAAATAAAATTTAAGAGAACATATGGAGACCAAAATCTGTAATAAGTTCTGACTACTTTTAAGATAAGATCAAATATTAGGAAATCTGCTGAATATTGGCTCTCTGTCAAAAATCTTAATATTGGACACCTCTGCTGCCTCAGTGCATCAGCATTTCCATCAAAGTATGTGTTAAATTAAAATTCTGAGCTGAAGAAATAACAACAACTCTCAATAAATAAAAAGCATTAGAAATTGAAAAATAAAACAAAATAAAGCCTCTTTTGCAATTTAACAAATGCCAAGACCATTCTCATCACCATCATCATCCGCATCATAAGCATCGTTATCTTGCTCATCCATGACACTGCACTGCATTCGCATCACATCATCACCCATCTACACATCTATCCATCCGCTCCTCAAACACCCCCCAAACTATAAACATCAAACGAAATAATATATTTTGTTGTGATTTTCAGTTACTGCCGTTGATGTTGTTGCTGCTGCTGTTGTTGTAGAAGCGCATATAAATCTTAAGGAATCTTCCTTCCTTTGAATGCCCAAAAGCGATTTTTTATTTGAGTAACAACATTTCACAGCATCTTAAAATGGCCAGAAAGTTTCATTGAAAGTGAAGCGAATGAAATGTTGATTGTTTTTTGAAATGGATGAGAATACGTTCGGTCATGGATGGATTATTTGTAAGATACTGTGGACCGCCTTGATTTGCAGATGATAGACACCAAATTTCTCTCAGGACCTACTCATAAGAAAGGAGTCAAGTGCAATTCCATTATATTAAACCACATATAATTTTTGGATCTGTAGGTCAGATCTCACTTTGCGATTCTCAAATTATTGTTATTGGAAGCAAAACCTTTTCCAATATTCCCGGCACAACTAAAAGCTACTATATGGAGACAATGGCTTTGTAAATTTTCGACTTGTAGGTTGCTTATGCTAATAAACATTTAAATAACAAATTACAGAAGCTCTTGTCAGCCTCTTCGCTTCTCCAGTATTCAAAGACATTTATCTAAGACATATGTGAACGTGCATGTGGATGGGTTCACCATTTCGACCAGACTATATCAACAGGCCTATCAAGCAGGATTGAATAGTATTAACACTAATGTTGTGGAAGAAAGTCGAGAATACAGGATGAATAGAATCCTCAGAGAAAATCTGCCTCGATAGCAGCAGCGTCCACGACAAAACCGAGTCGTTCCCACGGCAATCGGATCTACGCTCCAGAACGACCCGAGTTCGACTCGGCGAGGGATTGTGAACTCAGCGACAGCTGTACCAAACAAAAGTTTTTTCCACAGGTGAGCAAATCATTTCGACAGCTTTGCTCGCCATTCTTTTAATCCCTGCCGGCGTTGAACAAAACCCAGGCCCTGATGTCTGGTTTTGTTCAGTGTGTCATTTACGCATCGCTACAAATTCCACCTCAGTGTGATGCAATGTTTGCAACAATTGGTGTCACTTGAGGAGGTGCTCAGGTCTCGCAACCTGTTGTCTGCAGCCTACAACATCCAGCTCCTTGTCTCCAACAACCCCGAGAAATTCCATCCTTTCTCAGCAACCTGCCCAGAACTGGAACTGTCCGGTTTGAGGGGAAATCATACGGAGAAACATGACATCTGTAAGGTGCAATGGTTGCAGTAACTGGTGCCATATGAGACGATGTACCACCCTGCCTTCACACAGGAATTGGAATTCAGGTTGCTTCAGTGCGGCCGATTGCTGCACTAATAATGCAGTAATATCCGCTAGAATCCCGTTGAGTCCTTCCAGTACTACGGCTAGCACTCCGTCTAGTTTTCCATCCGGTAGTACTGCTATAAGTGTGAGTACTAGTGGTAGAGCTGGTTATTACATTAGCTCTTCCTCCAGTTCTGCTGCTAGCACCCCGGCTAGTTCCAATGCTACTAGTCATACTAGTTATTCTACTAATGATTGGCGTACTACGGCTGGCACTCCGTCTAGTTCTCCATCCAGTAGTACGACCACTAGTGCTCATGGTGGTTGTCAAGTTAGTTATTCTACTAGCTTCCCCGTCTAGCCATTCATCAAGTAGAATTCATTCTAGTGTTCCGACTAGCACTCCTTCTAGTCATCCTATTCCAACAACGAATGCTCAAAACCCATCCAGACAACAGCCTTACAGGCAGGTTTTTCATACCACAAGGGCACCTACAGCAGCAGTCCATGAAGGGGAGTGATCTAAATACCTCATTCCTAATCATGCAATTTAATTGTAATGGTCATAGGAATAAGGTTATTGAGATCACAAACTTCATGCATGAAAACAACATCCTCATTGCTGCCTTGCAAGAAACGAAGCTGACCAGCAGTTGTTCCTTATCCTCCTCCGTGAATTACAACATCATTTGATGAGACAGAGATAGAGACTATGGTGAGGGTCTTGCATTCTTCATCCAGCGAGATGTCATATATACCCTGACTTCCCCTCCGTCACCTTCGCAGTCTGATTCTTTCCTGGAGGTTTTGAGCTTTTGATTTCATTCCGACGATACTGAAATTGAAATTGTCAATGTATATATTCCGCCCGTCAACAGCATTGAGGCCAGTTATCATCCAAGCATCATCCATCTGCTGCAGGGAGGTAATATGGTTTTCACAACTTCCCAATTAACCTCGCGGTGTTCTTATTGCAAACCAGATAGACGATTTCGCTTTCATCAATAAGGAATCCTCTACCAGAGTCACTGCTAGGTGTTCGAGCTCTCCGGAAATTTCCATCGTCAGTTCATCGCTCCTTCCATACACTTCCTGGCAAATTTAAGACCATATTCCCATCACTTTAATTTAAGACCATATTCCCATCCTGGTCATGGTAGAGAAACCCAGCGATTTCTCTACCATGGAGTCCGATCAGCCTACTTTCATGAATTATAATAAAGCCAACTGGCACGGCTTCACAAAATGCATTTAGGACTCCTTAACCCGTATGTGCCAGTAAGAGTGAGAAGATTTTCCAAGAAATTATTCTAAAAGCGGCAAAACGCTTCATTCCTGCAGGCAGAATTCCTCTAATGACACCAAATTATCCATCCAGGGCATCCAGATTGGCACAGCAACGCGACCAACTTCGTGCCGAAAGCCCCGCTGACGAAAGAATGCCGCAGCTTTGCACTGAAATAGATGCTTTAGTCCAGTGATGCACACGGTGAGAGGATGGCAATTTGTAAATGTATGTGTGAGACTAGCACACAAAGTTAAAGCGGGCCACAAACGTTAAACATGTGCTTTCCATCGGTGTGAATTAAATTAAAAAAAGTTAAAATAAATAAAATTGATTGGCCTTTTCTGCGTCGTCACTATCGCGGACTATCTTCATTTTTTAAAAACCAAAGTTTTGTTGATTCATTTGTGGCCTATCAGTTTCACACCGATCAAACGTACATGTTTGACGTGTGTGGGGCGCTTAAGCGTGGCCGCAATATGATGTACACCACCATAGACATGTTTACTTGTTGAAGTCTCAACAACGACTAAACAAATGAGCGTAAGAATCCGTGTGAGTTGAGCTGACCGCTAGAGTGCAAGGGCGTGCATCCCTGCTCTAGATCACAGGCGCTCCAAATGGCTAGAACACCTTAACCACTGCAATATAAATTCCAAGCAGCTATGGTCCACAATTAGGAGTCTATCTGGTCCCAAAAGAAATAAAAATCTCACTGCCATTTCATTCGATAACATCCAACATTCTGATGCCAATCCATCTTCGCAGAACAGGATCAAGCGAGCAGCTATCCGGAGATCCAAGAATCTTAAAAGAGACTTGCAGCCACTATTTTTTACATCCAGCGAGGTAGAGACAATATAGGTTTTTTTTTCGTAGGGAGTTTTCATACCAAATAAGAATACAAAATACCACTTTAAAGCGAGATCGGTTTAAAAACGTGCTCAAAATACTGAAAATTCGGGGGTTTTGTTAAATGGGGGCTACCGGAAAAAGTTGACCAATATTTATAATTTTTACTGGAACGCAAAGTGCCTAATTACCGAAAATTAGGAGGGTAATGTTATATGGGGGCTACCAGAAAAAATTGACCCATATTTATAATTATAATTAGTGAATATTAAATCCCAATAAGAACCCATTGTACCAAATTTCAGTGAATTTGGTTATAAAGCGTTCTTAAGAACCGCAAAATCTCGAAAATTGGGGGTACCGTTATATGCAGGCTAAAAGTGGACCTATATTTATAATTTTTAGTGGAGAAGTTTGGTACCCAATAAGAGCTTAAAGTTCCAAATTTCAGCGAATTCGGTTGAAAAACGCGCTCAAGAACCCCAAAATACTGAAAATTGGGGGTACCGTTATATGGGAGCTATGCCTTAACGTGGACCGATATAGCTCATCTTCGAATTTGACCTGCCTGCAGACAAAAGAAAGACTCTATGTAAAATTTTGGCGATCTATCCCAATTCGTTTAGACGCTAGAGTGATTAAAATAGACAGACGGACGTGCATAAATCGTTAATAAACTCTCCATACTATTGTGGAGGGTATAAAAACACTTGCATCCTTACATTATTCATTGGCTACTTTTTAAGTGTTTGTCTTTCATGTTGATATTCATAGAATGTCGTGTATCCTCCATATTAATGTTGGCCAATTTGCGGTGAGACTGAGATTGGTGTTGTGAAAATGTTTTTAACTTAAACACTTTTTAAGTGACATTTGAAAAGTAAATCCCAAGTTTTGGGCCTCAATCTTTGCAATAACTTATCAACTCCCTTCTCATACCATAACACCCTTCACTCACACACACAAACAGCATATGGATCATATTGTATTTTATTTATTTTTTTCTTCATACAATAAAACAACAATAAAATCTCCAACAAAACCATTGGGGATTAGGCAGCTATAAAATAGATTTTATATTTTATAATGGTACTGGTCTCTTATGAAAAACATCACACATCCCACTCCCCAATATTTCGAGAGCACACACACAAGTCCACCCTTCCCCTCACAACATACAAGGCCAATGAATATTTTTGTTTTCTTTGTAAAAAGTGAAAAAAAGAAATCTTTTAGACTTATGGCATTCATTCCTCTAGGCTTTTCGCTTTCACCAGCATGGATGGCCTGCCTAACTAACCATCTGGCATTGGCAAAGAACAGAAGGCGATTTTTTATTTATTTATTTGTGTTGTTGTTCGTATTTTTCATAAGGATAAGGGGATTCGTTACGAGTGATGAATCCTTAAAAGGCGACAAATTGTTAAAAAATCTTAAGTGATGTGGAATCATATCACAAATCTTACTAAATCTTTTTTTTCCATTTCATATATATATTTTTCTTTCTTTTCATAGTTTAGAATTTTATTGTGTCATTGTTGTTGTTTTTGTGGTCTTGAAAAGCTTAAGGGAAGAAAATTATAGAAAAATATTATCACATCATAGATATTTATTGTAAGCAATTATAAAGGAGTTTTTTGTATTAAAGCTTGGGGATATAATATAAAATATTCGAAACCGTTTTTTAGGAAATTAAAAACATTCGCCTAAAACTATGCTTTACTTTGGATAAATAAATAATTAAATTGGAAATGTTGCGTACATCGTAAACGTTTCTGTAGGAACGCTATTATCGGCTATAACTATTTTATCGACATTATTCATATAATAGGGGCCTTTAGACTAATAAATTATTTCAAAACAACGGAAAGGGCTATTGAGTATGTCTATATTTCAATTCAAATGAAGACTTACGTTATATATAATATCTAAGACCGATGTAGTTTTTCAGAGACCGACGAAAGACAATCAAAATGGGACTTTCAACATAAATGACAATGTCGTTTGGAAATTTTTGTTATTGTATAGGGCCGTTGTATGGAGGTTGTACAAAAGCAGTCCGGTTCAAAAATGTACCCAAAATCCCATAAATAGCGAATATTAGCGGGTAAGGTTATATGCTACCCTAAAACGTGGGTCATTATTATACCCATCAAAACACTGTGGTACAAGGTATTATGTCTTTTTGCATATGTTTGTAACAGGCAAAAGGAAACGAGATAGACACATGGTTCCTTTTGAGAATATGCATAGAATCACTATCTGAGTCGATTTATGCGTGTCCGTCCGTCCCTCCGTCTGTAAATTTTAAATTGTAAACCTGTACTAGGTCGTATTTATGATCCGATTGCGATTAAAATTGACACAAATCACTTATTTGGCCCAATTGAAATTGAAGAAAATCGGATTTAAATATAGCTCCCATATATAGTTTCGCCCGATTTAATGGAAATTATGCATCAAAGTACCTATATATATATTTCGATTTGCACGAAATTTTGCATAATGTTCTGAATTGGGTATTGAATGATGTGTGTCAAGTTTAGAGAAAATCGGGTCCGAATTCGATATAGGTCCCATATATAGTTTCGTCCGATTTAATGCACATGGGGCACCAATGACGCTATATATCGTTCGATTTGCATGAAAATTGGCATAGGGTACTACATTAGGTCCAGAATGATTTGTGCTAATTTCGTGAAAATCGGTCCAGATATAGCTCCCATATATATTTTTGTCCCATATATTGCATTGGGAACTGAATTGAGTATCGAATGATTTCAGAGCTCTATCCCAGTTATTGCTATCTCTATTGTGATTTCAACGAATGGACAGACATTCAGATCAACAATATGTATACTTTTTTGGGTCTCCGACGAATATTTGCTGGTGTGGTGGAGGTTTTAAAAACAAACCATGTAAATGAGAAGTACACGGTTTAGATGTTAGATATTTTAGATCACTTCTGATTTTATTGAAAATATAAATTCACTTAAGTGCTGCACTGTCATAGAAATCTTAGGGTACCTTATTCGTTGCAGTTATCACTAGAACTACATGCTCTCTTGTTGAGTACAATATCAGTTGAACATTGCCTTTATTATTATGCACTCCAGCAGCTCACACAAGCATTATCACTTACGCACACTTATCTATGGACATATATTTGTGTTATGTACTTACATATTTTATGATCTATACATTGTGCAAACATATTTTCTAAT